TAATAATAATAATAATAATAATAATAATAATAATAATAATAATAATAATAATAATAATAATAATAATAATAATAATAATAATAATAATAATAATAATAATAATAATAATAATAATAATAATAATAATAATAATAATAATAATAATAATAATAATAATAATAATAAGCGAACAACAATAACTATACAAGCGCCTTTCATGAAAAATAATACTATCCAAACTGGAAGGAATAAATGCATTACGATTATTTCGCATATGATCGCCAGATTCAACCATCAAATTTCGATTTTAAACCTTTCAACATTGTCGGTTTATGAAAATAGGAAGCGCTTTTAATATGCAAAATTAATGGAATGGGAAACATTGAGGAAGATAAGGTGAATAAACAGAAAATGATTGAATAAAAGAAAGGAAAGCTGAAGAAAGCGAAATAAAATTTTCAAATTTTTGTTTATTTTTCCTAATTTTACTTTTTAATTTAAGAGGGACATAAATAGAGTCATGCTGTCTCATTTCAAATAATTCTCTTTAACTTTTTTCTTAAATGAAATGTTCATCTAATTGGCAGAGCATGCTTCCGCCGAAACTTCCAGACTCTTAGTTAACCGAATTTGTGGAGAGTGACGGAAATTCTGACAAAATATGTATTACAGAAACATGTTCTGCCTAGAAGGATGTTTCAGTTCAGGAAAAAGGAACTGTCTTAATTAAGCATTGCATACCTGCTAAAGGCTCACTAAGAAAAATTTCCCCAACTTCTTTCGTAATATGGAGTTGATAATTAAGTTGACAGCAGAAAATGAGGAATATGTGAAAGACACAGCCAAGGTGTCTAGCAATGTCCGGACAAAAACTGACAACTAATAAGTAGTTGATGTGAATGGCAATGAACTGTCATCATTGTCACACAACTGTCACACAATTCAACCTTATTACCCTCAATGATCGAAATAAATGAGAGCCAATTTTATTCAGTTCGAAATTATTGTAAGAATATTATTATTTCTATCGTTTTGCATGGATATTTTTTTTCGGATTATGTTGTAGTTATAATTTAAAAAAAAAATCTTATTGTAAGAATTCGAACTTCTTGAACTAATTTTATCGTCCAATCCTTTTTTTCGAAGGACGCTTCAAATAATGAAACGTTAAATAGAAAAAAGGCAAAAAAGTACTTTTGGAGCGTACTTTACGCATTATACTTCAATGTGTCTGAATATCATCTTTTGTTAAAAGCTACCATAAAGTTCTCATACGAAGTTTTCATCCTCAAAAAAAAAGTTAGATCCATGAAAGTGAAGGTCTTTTATGAACTATTATCATCCACGGTGACCACAATTTACTATTTTCTTCCAGTCAGTGTTGAAATTTCTATGGAATTTAAAAAACATTCGCTATGATATATACTACTGCCAAAAATATTATTCATATTCAATGGAGCGTTCTTTAAATGTTTTTTATAAAATGTTGAAAAGATTCCATCGGAAAGGTCTCTTGAAACTTAAAACTGGTCAGAAAATGGTTGAAAGAATTCTTAGCAAGAAGCGATTATCAACACCACAAATTGCTTGAGTGATACACAGTGAATGAAATGATATGGCAGCATCTTTTAGTCTTAGCCTGAAACTCAAACTCTTTTTAAACAAAAAAGCATCAAGTCACAGATTAACATTGAACAATGGAAAAGGGCACTCTGCGTTGAATTCCAATTATTTGTTCCAAAGATAGTTACTTACTTGATTGTGAGAATGGTCTCAGTCAAACACTGAGGGAACACGACATGGGTTAGGATGGGAACCATAGATAGTATCATGGGGGCTCTCACACCATTTATTTCAGTGGAGTGTTGGATTGAAAAGAATGCTCTGCAAACGGTCAATATACTTTTCGACTCGGAATGAGAGAACAGAAGAGAAAAAAAGCAAAGTATATAACATGCTTAACATTTCATAGCTTGCTTCTAGACAAAATTTCAATGTTTTGAATACCATCAAGTATAGTTAAAAAATTATGCTAGTATCAACAAAAGAAAAGACCTTCAAATTGGATGCAGTATTTTAAATCGATTGATTTCTAAATTTGAAAATACTTTCCGCAGAAAATGTTGGTGGTAATGCAATGGTCTATAAATGATGTTTTGAATGTTCAACAATGCTTGGCGATCCTAGAACCAGTGACGAGTACATACGGTTACCGTGCAAGTTTGTGCATGAAATTATTTCAAAATATACGTTTTCAATAGATGAGAAGTGAAGAGTGAGGGGAAGGGATGAGTGACCTAGTTTGGTACTTCGATGGCCATTCCAAACTGCACGACCATCAGCAGCAATCATTTCTGGTCATCGGCACTAAAAGTTTTTGATTGAGCATCGAGAGAGAAAGGAAATGGCAGGAGGACACCACCCGCTTTTTAATTTGCCCATAGATGACAAATAATTCCGGAAGACAAGATAGACGACGAATCCAAATAGATGGTGCAAATGTTCGAAATTTTATTCGATAATACAATGATCATTTCTAGCGGTTAATTAATAAACGGATATTTGGTAAAAACAAACAAAGAACGTGAAAATTTTTTAAATCGAGAAAAAGATGTGTGCTGGAAAATGATGAATTAAGTGAGAACTGGCAGCAATGATGATTAGCAGGCAACGCGTGAAACTTTAGAACAGGTTTTCGTTTCGTTTTGAAAATAAGCAGTATCTGGCCTTCAAACAAATTTACCATAAAATTACTATTATCACTTGGCGCAATTGACAAACGATAAATTCTTCTTCTTATCAGATACAGCCTTTATTTCTGCAAAAATGACGTGAAATGTAAGCGAGCTGACAACAGAAGAAACGTAAAGAATCGCATCATGTTCAAACCAGACCTTTCATACACAATCTTTGGACGGTATTTAAAATTGCTATCTTCAAATGATTACCGACATTTCTGTAGAAAAGATGATATCAGCAAAAAGTCACGTGAAGATGCAACAACTTTTCAAAATGAGATGCCCTATAAGGTGAATTCTCCTATTAGGAAAACTTCCTACAACCTTCAAAAGGTTAAAAGTTGATCATCCTCTCTCTACCTGATTGACAATGCTTCATAATTTCCTCTTTTGTTATTAAATATTTTCCGGTATAGGAGACTTCAGCACCACTTTTTACCATATAATATATACTTTTTTGCCACATGGACATTTTTAAAACAGTAAATTCGAAAAAAAAGAAAAAGACAAAATGACAAAAAAAAGACAATTCTTTTTGAATTCGTTAATAAATGAAAGGTAATTGTCTGATTACTCGTCTGATCAGTGAATCCTCATGCAAATTTCCACCAATCCCAGGGGCGCTAAAGAAGATGACGATAAAAGCTCAAATAGTGAATAAAAGAAGAAAAGGCGAAAGTTTAAGGAACGAGCGGTAACTAACCAGTTCTTCCCTCAATTGCATGATCCCGACGACAGCTTATAAAACTTTGGCTAGTGCATTTCACTGAAGACATATCTGACAACTATTGTCATCTCTCTCTCTCTTCATCTCTCACTTTTTCTTTTTTCACTCACCATTTGAGCTTTCGCTTATTTTTCAGATTGTTGTGATTACTGCTGCAGTATTTGGTGATCAATGGAAAGCTGTCATTTATGAATCACACATTTTCATGCATCTCTCACAGTGCCATCTTTCTACGTTTTCTGCAAATGGCCCATCGTAGGTGATATGACCCGATGGCATATAAATGTGCGATCACGCAACGAACGTTTTATTTGCAGTACTGCCATGCTAATTGCTTACGTAGCCTTTGCTGTATACTAGACACGCTAACATCATTCGATATATCGCAACAGTGGAAGTTGTAAACAAAAACGCTGATTGGAAGATAAGGAAGAGTGGAATTGATCTTTGAACTGAGGATAGAGTTACCGAGTGTCAACTGTCTCTACTCATCATTCTCTATCGCTATTTTTTCACTTCGTAGTTTAGCCCACTTATTCATTTTGCAACCCTGCAGAAAATTTCAATTCATTTAAATTATTGGCTGTGTGCACCTCACTGTTAGTGTTTTGTTTTTTTTTTTTTGTCATTGGAAAAAGTGGTAAATAGCGTTGTATTTCGGATTGACCTATGCTATCCTCATTAACATATGTCCTGATACTCTTATATGCTATACCCTTTCAGCATAATAAATTTGTATTGCCCAACTAACATTAATATGTTCAGAAATTGAAGAGTTTCTCTGGAATTGCTTTATTCGTATTTTGTGGTTGACCGATCAAAGGCGCTCGTTGAGTATTTGTTATCTTGCAAGTGAACGGACGTAATCCTCCTCTTTGAGTTTCATCGTAGCTGCAATATGGGACCGAGAACACCAATCAAAGTGACACTTGTTGGCTCAGGCAACTGGTTCCGTTTTTTTTCTTTTTTTTTTGAAGATGTTTATTGTCGATGGTCTTGTCTTCTTCTTTGAAAGATTTCGGTTTAGTACAGCGTTTGAAATCAAAATAATATGACTGCTCTTTCAGGATTTCACCTTCATCGCTCAAAGTATTGGAAATGATTTGAACTAATTTCCATTTCTCTTGCTTCAGGGGTTCAGCGATTTCTCTGATCGTTGGAAAAAATGTGCAGAAATACAAGGATGTGTTTGATCACCAAGTACGCATGTGGGTCTATGAAGAGATAATCAATGGGAGGAAACTTACCGAAGTTATCAACACGGAACATGAGAATATCAAATATCTGCCAGGCAAAAAGCTCCCACCGAATGTGGTTTGTCATTTTGATTCCTGTGTTTTTTTTTCTTTTTTACTCGTATGATAGATATCTTCTTCCCACATGTAAACAGAGCGTACTATACAGAAATAATACTCTCACGGCCCATACAGAAATAATACTATCATCATTTCTGCAGTGAAATTTGGTTGATAAATAACAGTGATTTATGATTTGTCAATGTTCAGAATTATTCACAACCAAGTGGTTGAAGGGACATCGATTCGTATCTGTTTTTTCGGATTCCTATAATTTAAATGTCAGCAAATACCATCGTAAAAGCTTTCGTTGTGGAATCGCTCTTTCGTTAAACTTTTTTTGAAACTTACATGACATACAAGAAGCAATCAATCAAACTAATTTGCAGGTGGCTATACCAGACCTACTGACAGCTTGCAAAGATGGTGATATACTTATATTTGTAATTCCTCATCAGTTTGTGGACAATGTTTGCACACAACTGAAAGGTCATCTAAAAGAAGACGCGCTTGTAGTTTCACTTATAAAGGTTGTTAGATTCTTAGGCAAAGTTTCGTTTTGCTAAAACTTACTTGAATCCATTACTTATCAGAGATATTGATAAGGACTTCGGTTGGACTGGTTTGGAAATTAACGTATATTTCAACGCTCTTAATTTGCAGCACGATTAAAACCAATAGCGGAAGATGTATTTCAGGGTTTCATGGTTCAGAAGAAGAAGGGTGGAATTCGTCTGGTTACTGAAGAAATCCGTGATTTATTGGGTGTTGATACAGCTGTTCTGATGGGTGCAAATTTGGCTCCCGAAGTGGCAAATGAAGATTTTTGTGAGGCCACTATTGGTGAGTGTAGATTTGAACCCTTTGGAGTACTGTTTGAAATTTTTTTTAGTATAAGTTTAACTTGCAATATTAGATGAACTGATGATATGTTCTGTTCATAACGTGTTCTTCAACTATCCTACGAATGGTGTACACTTCCACTGCTTTTTATATTGAGATTAATTAAGTTGTTTAATTATTACTGTCCATTTGGTTTGTCAAATTAATATCCGATTAATAATTATAGGTTGTAAAGATCAAAAGGATAGATGGTCGATACTAAAAAAGTTGTTTGATACTGATAATTTCAAGATTGCTCTGACAGAAGATGCAAACACCGTCGAATTATGTGGTGGCCTCAAAGTTAGCAATTCTTGTTTTCTGCTCATAACAAGAGTAAAAAATGTCAGAGCTTGGAACTATACTACAGTATACTTTTTTGTTTGTTGCAGAATATCGTGGCATGTGCTGCAGGCTTTGCTGATGGTCTTGGTTATGGAAGTAATACAAAATCAGCAATTATCCGTTTGGGACTTATGGAAATTACCATTGTAATCATTTTATTAAGCTTAAGCACTGGAGTTTCCATCACTGGTAACAACTTGAGCATCAAATTTTCATGTGGAAATTTTGTCTCAAATGAATGGTGCACAAAACTTTTTCTTAGACAAATTCGGAAACCGGTAACCTTTATGCATTGCAGTTTGTCGAACTGTTTTATCATGGCTCGAACATTCGGACATTTTTTGAAAGTTGTGGTGTGGCTGATCTCATAGCAACGTGTAGTGCCGGCAGGAACCGTAAAATATGCGAAGCATTCGTTAAAACGGGAAAAGTGAGTCAATTGGAAGTACTAGATCCATTCTAATCATTTGTATTTTGCTATCTGTTCTCTGATTTATTTCGTTCTGCTGCAGTTTGTTTGATGAAGAATGGTATATTTCGATAAGTGGCATTTTAGTGCCTTATGGTTTACATTTCAAAGCATTAAAAGAAGATAATGAATGAATGAATGAATGAATAAATAAATAAATAAATAAATAAATAAATAAATATATATATATATATATATATATATATATATATATATATATATATATATATATATATATATATAATATATATATATATATATATATATATA